TAAACCAGATGACTGAACTTCTAAACCACAGTGTCACTTCCTCTGCCACCCAGGCCACCTTGGAGCCTGCTGGTGACCTTCTGTGCTTTATGCTCTTGGCATTGTTAATGAAGAATTCCTTATTTGAGGATTTATAACTTTCCCATGAGGAGCCTCCTTGCTCATCACAGTAGAAAACTTTGCTGGAGAACCAGACCTGAATTTGAATCTTGGTTTCAATTACTTGACCTGAGTCTTGGATTTTTTCATCTGGAAAATTGGTATTATGATGCCCCATACGGTTGCTGAAGATTGATGAGATAATGCTTATGAACAAAGTGACCATCACTTAACAAATGCTTTTCTTCCAATAAAAACACCTACGTGTTGGGCCCTCAAAAACTAAACCTCCCCACACCTGCCTCTTTCCATTGTTTTATTACCACAGTAATCCAGATGCCAGTGATGAAGTCGGAACTCTGTCCCAGCGACGAGAGAGATGAAGACAGGGTTTTGGGCTTCGTTTTCCAAAACAAGTCCCATTAAAAAAATCTAGAAAATGGGAGCTGGGGAATTAGCTCAAATGGTAGAGCGCTTGCTTAGCATGTGAGAGCTAGTGGGATCGATGCCTGCATTCTCCACAGCTGAATTTTATGCAGGGAGGGGCCCGTCCATCTGGGCCAATTTACCCCAAAATGGCGGCCGTGCAGTGAGTAGCTGGGTGCCCTTAGTGGGGTGCCTTCCCCAAGGGAGAGGCGGGGTGGGGGTGGGGCCTTAAACAACAACAACAAAAAAGAAAATAGATGAATTTGGTCTTTCCATTACACTTTGAAACTTTGCTTCCTTCATTTTAGCAGTGGTGGTGGCCACATTCAGGAGGAATTGGGGAGAGTTAGGAAAGGTGGCAAACTCATGTAATCTTTAGAATTTGTACAGATACAACATAAAATCCAGAAACCCGGGCGCCTGGGTGGCTCAGTTGGTTAAGCGACTGCCTTCGGCTCAGGTCATGATCCTGGAGTCCCGGGATCGAGTCCCGCATTGGGCTCCCTGCTCGGCAGGGAGTCTGCTTCTCCCTCTGACCCTCCTCCCTCTCATGCTCTCTGTCTCTCATTCTCTCTCTCAAATAAATAAATAAAATCTTTAAAAAAAAAAAACCTTTAAAAAAAAAAATCCAGAAACCATAAATATTTTGATAACATAAAAATTAAACGTTTCTGCATGGCAAAAGTACCACAAAGTAAAAAGACAGACATTCAACTGGAAAAAATGATAGTAAATATATAACCAATAAGGCTATTTTCTCTAATATGCAAAGAGCTCTTTTAGGTAATTAAAGTAATGAATGTGTGTTTTTTTAAAAAAGATTTTATTTATCTGTAAGAGAGAGCACAAGCAGGGGGAGCGGCAGAGGCAGAGGGAGAAGCAGGCTCCCTGCTGAGCTGAAGGCAGACGCTTAACCGACTGAGCCACCCAGGTGTCCCTGAATGTATTATTTAAAAAGGCAAAAGATGTGAATAGGAAGTTCACAGAACAAGGAATTCAAAAGGCCAGTCAACAATTCAAAATGTGTAACCTTACACAATAGAAGGAAACACAGTTTAAAAAATGAGATACCACTTTGAGCAAGGGGGTTGGCAAAGATTAATTGCCACATAACATGAGACCTTGGTGAGAACAAAACTCAGCTGTTGGTTTGTGGGGAAATCGTTGAGAACTTTCAGGCATGAACTTTTAGGCAATGTCTTCCAAATTAAAAGCATACATGCTAGGAACCAGCAATTCCAACTCCTTTCTCTGGATGTGTCTGTTAAGAGCCTCTGCTGTCTTTATAAAATAAATGTGCCTAAGGACACACAAGAAACATTAATAATGATTACTTTTGGTGTGTGGAGAAGAAAAGAGAGATTTGCTTTTAATTTTTCCCACTTTTGTATTGTTTGAGCTTTTTAAGGAATCCGATGTTTATATTTTACTACTTTTAGAAAGTTAAATTGTGTTCCAGACATAACAGCATACTCAACAATGAAAGAGACCTTACCTCTGATCTGATGGTCTCATATTATAAATTGGTTGGTACTCAAACATTGTAACAAATGAACCATCAATGAGCAAATGCAATAGGAGGTGTTTTCTTAAAATGTTGCCTCAGATAGCAGCCATAATTCAGCAGAATGATCTCTCTGGACCTTACTGGGTCCTCTGTCACATGGCTGTGGACTTTCTTAGGGAACCTACCGTAAGCACGTTTTCCTGCCCCAGAGCCTTTCTCCCACCAGTCCAGTTTGATAGTCCCAGGCCCATAGATGTGATGCTCCTTCACGCCCCATCACACACTCCCACGCTGTCTGCCCTGGGCTTCTGGAATGTCCTGGAAGGTTCACAGTAGAGGTGGGACTTGTACAACGAGTAGGTGTAGGTGGGGATTGGAGGGTCTGAGAAGAACTACATAACAACCAAAGGGGAAAGAGTGGGCAGTAGCCGTTTATTGACGGCTTACTATGAGCCTACATATTCACACATAATATGTTCTGTATTTCGTGTCAGCTTCATGACCCCTGGGAGAAGTCAGTATTATGGGCCCTGTTCTACAGGGGAGGTGACATGCTCAGAGGCCACATAGGTAGTGAAGCAGCTGAGCTGGAATTCAAATCAAAGCCTGTTTGCCCATCACTGAAGGCCCACCTCTTCACCCCTGCTCTACAGGGGCCTCTCATGCACGATGTGGAGCTGGGCACCAGGAGAAGGGTCTGTCCACTGTCCCAAGGAGGGTCACCTTAGGATTTAGCTCTAGGAGTCATGGTGCTGGGCCTGCCCCAGAGATACTAGACCCTGGAAAGCATCCAGTCCTAGGCTGTGGTAATTGTGATCTTGTGTGTTTGCAGATGGGGGTGCCGGGCAGGAGGGATGCCGAGAGAAATATCTGTTCCGGTGGAGTCTGAAAAGAAAGCAAGGGATGATATTCCTTCCCGGGAACGGAGACCGGGCTGGCCTTGAATCATGACCCCTGTGGTCGCCGATTCAGCGCATTGCGTGTGTCCTAGGCTGCAGAGTGCTGAGGCAGGCAGTTCGTCTTTGATTTTCCTTTTCATCCCCCATGACAACCACCACATAGCTTTTCCTGCGGTCTGGCTGCGTTCCCACTACCAGGAGAGGCTCAGAACTGGAGTGCCTGGAAAAGTTGCCCATGGCCACGAGAAGGGCCGAGTCACGCCCCGTGGGGTTGAGGTTACTCCAACTATCGAGCACCTGTAGCTAGTGGGGTTGGGAGGCTCTCCAGATGTCAGGGAGGGGACAGGGAATTAGCGCCCCTGAGGAGGAACACTGAAGTCACGGGGGCAGATGCCAATGACTTTTCTTGGACAGGTTCCTTCAGTCCCCGCTGGTGAGGGTGATTTTGCTTTTCAGTCTGAGAGGCGGCCCTAACTGTGAGCCCAGAGGACTCCAGTGTGGGGACTGGGCCGTGAGTGGGTGCCTGGATGGATCGTTTCTAGTAGTTACGGAGTGTGTCCTAAGTTCTTGGCACTGTGTTGGGTAGTTGAGGCACATTATCTAGTTTTTCGCCTCACAACAACCACCTGAGTTAATGATGTTCCCATTTCAGAGGTGAGGCGGCTGAGCCTCAGGAACTGGCCATGGCCAAAATGTGGCCAGATATCTGACAAAGGTCACGTGGGCTCCAGAGCCAGGCTGTGTATGTCGCTGCCACCAGACCACGGTGTGTGGAGGCAAGTCCCACAGAATCTTGGCTGGATGACAGCCCTCTCCCCCAAGTTGCCCCTTCGGACTGTAGAGGCTGTGGGTAGTGCCCTCAGGGAGCTGGGCGCAAGTAGCTTTTCTCAGGGCCAAACAGCTACTGCTGCTCAGAGGGCCTGGGCGCAGAATGGACCCTTGTTGGCTCATTCGGTCAGAGCGTTTCCCTGCCCCGCTGGTCCATGCCGCCTTAGCTTCAGTAGCTGGTCACCCAGTGGGAAACGGGCTGAGTGCTGACAAACGTGCCAGTAAGTGAATTCCCCAGGAAATAACACCGTATCCTTCCGAGACATTGTGTGGCAGGGCTGTGGAAAACTGGTGGAGCTTTGCTGGTAGGGGAAGACTGCTGAGAGGGTGAGTCCACCTCCCCGAGCCCTTGCCAGCCCCGCCAGCCCCCAGCCCTGGCCTGGCCTCTGTGCCTCTTCAGCACTTCTATTCCGTGCCATACAATGGAGCATGTCCCTGCAGCCAGCTGTATTGTCTAGAAGCTGGATGTTTCTTGTCTACACTGCTTGTTTCCTGGGGAGAAGGGACAGTGCCTTCCTGGTGACACCTGAAGATCTTCACCCCCTTGTGTTTGTGGACTCTCCCTGTCCCCCCTCTACCCCAGCTCTGGGGCCTGTCTGAGTGGAACAGCTGAGTGGATACCTTTGGGTCAGCATTCTCTCACATTCTAATAAGCCTGGGATCTTTTTGGGGGGCACCTGATTGGCTGGTTTGCTAGGCCTCTTAATTTATAGCTATTTGGACCTCGTTCACTTCATCACATGACCCTCTTATCCTGCCACAAGACATTGCCATCATTGTATGCAGACATTATTAAAAAGTAAATTCTGTATGGGGACCACTATTTGGCTGAAAGCCCAGGGGCCCACAGGCCTATAGCCGTGCCCTGGGTGTCCCTGGGGGCATGAAGAACAAAATTGAGGTGTGGACTCCTGGGATAGGGCCTGAAGGGCCCCTTTAGCTTGATGGGGACTTGGCTGAAAGCCCTGAAATACTTAGCTCTTGTGAGGGGGCGGGCACTTCATAATTGGGTGTAGGACTGTGTCATTGTTTGTGTGAATTCTAAAAGTAATATAAAAGTGCTCAGCATGAAGAAACAGAATCAGACCATACATAAATGTCTGTGGTAAAAAGTAAGAAACACTGGCCACCCCATCACTGGGAGGTGACTGGTGTTTATGGAGGGACTCATGGGTTTTAAGTCTTGGCCTCTGGGAGGATCTTCTCTTTCCTGAACTCATAGCAGTCCCTTGTCTCTGCAGAACATGGGGAGTTCCTGGCTCTGGACCTCGGAGGGACAAACTTCCGTGTGCTTCGGGTAAGAGTAACAGACAATGGGCTCCAGAAGGTCGAGATGGAGAACCAGATCTATGCCATCCCCGAGGACCTCATGAGAGGCAGCGGCACCCAGGTAGGACCCTCCTCAGAGTGGCCACTGGGGCTCTGGGCCCCACAGGCGCAGATGCGGCCCTTTCTCTGGTCTGGAGGGGGGAGACCCTGACTGAGGCTCAGATTTTCTGTCCTCTCCCTGCCTGGTGATCCCTTTCTATGCCTGGAGGTTGAGTGAGGCACCTCCATCAGGAGAGGTGCACACGGACCAGAGAGCGGGGAGCATGTGTGTGAGACCCCAGGGTCTGGATGGGCCGCAGCGGGTGGTGTTTTGGTTTGCCATGTCTTTGGAGGTCTGCTTGCACAGGCTGATTAGTGACGAAAGCCTGCTGTCGGGAGGTCGGACCCACCCTGCTGGACAGCTTTCTTTATGTTTCATTTCTATATAGCAATTTAGTGGTGCCATCAAACGGCAGGTCAGAACACACGGTTGTGGTCTGATATTTCCGCCTGCTGCTGTGGTTGTTCTGCAGCCCTCTGTCTCACACTTGTTACCATAGCATCGTAGGAAGATGGAACTTGGCCCTTTAGCTTTGTGGTTATTTGCTCTTTCTCTTCTTGCCTATCTAAAACAGAAGAGGCATTGCGCACAGGGGTGGAAGCTTATTGAGAAAACATCAAAATCCAGCTTTGGGAATCTGGCACTGTGTGCTTCCACATTGCCCCGAATCCTGCTTAGTCATCCCCATATATCTGTGGCCAGTAGAGCATCTAGACAATAAAAGGAGTGGATAGAGAAGAAATATGAAATCCAAGTAAGAATCCTGTCTGTAATAGCCAGGAAAAAAGGAGAAAGGAGGGAATTGCACTGTGGTAATCTCCAAACATGTATTGAGCTTCTCCTGTGCGTGGGGCAGTGACCCTTGCTGGGAATCAAAGATTCCCGGCCTGTCCCCTCCCGGGCTTACCGCACAGCTGGACCACCAGGACACGCAGAAAGTAATAACGTGTTGAAGTGGATGAGTGACCCTCAGGAGGTGCTGACACACGATGACCTGTTGTATGACAGGCTGAGCAAAGGCTTTTTGCCTGCATTTCTTCTTTTTATCGTCACACTGGCCCTATGAGGCTGAGTGCCTCTGTTATCTCACTTTTTAGATGTCGAATTGGGTTTTCAAAGACTGAGTGACTTGGCCTTAGATCATAGGGGTGGGAAGCGTCAGAGTCACAACACGAAGCCAGATTGATGTGTTTGCACAATTCCCTGGGTCTCCGTCCACTAGGTAGGCTGTGTGATGTGGTCCATGTGAGTGGTACGTCCTGGAATTAGGCAACACGGTGGTCCTGGATCCCAACTCCCTGCCCCTGCTTCCAGAGTAGTAGGCCCTCCCCGAAGGCACTGTGCCCCTGCACACATGAAGTCCTGTGGCGCAGGCCCTTCGGGGGCTCTCGCTCTCTCAAGAGATCCCCCAGCAGAGCCCTCCTACAGAGGGGGCTCTTCCTGCCACCACTCCAGAAGTATCTGGCCAGTTGGTGGGTGACAGCCACCGGTCTGGCAGGATTCTCTGCTCTTGGGTGTCCAGGGAGACTGGTCTCCCCTTTCGGCTGCTCTGCAAAAACCTTCCTTGGGATGTTCTTCCAGTTCCTTCTTCAGCTGCTTATCCATCCATGGGTTGGAATCACTGAAGACATTCCTGGATGATGGCACTTCTGTAGGGATGATTCCCAGCTTGTGTGCTGGCTAGCCTTGCTGATTTTCTCTCCAGCATGTACTCAATAAAAGAGCGAATAGAGGACATGAAATCCAGTAAGATGCCGTGCCAAAGTGGTCACCTTTTAGGCCTTAGGGTTTAGAAGGGTGGAGCCTTCTTACTCCTGGTGCACTGTTCTTCTCACCATACTGGGCCCCTTCTTCAAAAGGGAATTTCAGACCAAGAGGAGAACATGTGGGGGAGAGACTGCCATTAGAGTCTTTATTTGTCCCTGGGGACAGCTCTGAGGGTAAGCCTGCTTTCCTTGTTTTCATGCTGGGGTTGAACAAGGGAGGTGAAGTCCCTGAGACTGGGATTTTAGCTCTATGGGGGTGGTCACATAGCTCCAGTATACATAAACAATGTGTTAGTCCAAATTAAAAAAAAAAAAAAAAGTGAGACCCACTCGGAAGAAACTATAAAGCTATTGTGATATTTTACAAGTTTTGAATAAATGGAAAATTGCTATATAGAAATGAAACATAAAGAAAACTAGAAGAAAGTATAGGTGTTTATTTCACCCTAAGGAAGGGAAAGAATACTGTGCTTAAAAGCAGAAAGCAATTGGTCAAAAGACTGGAAGGAAATTCACAGTAGCCCTTTTAAAGATTTTTTTTTTTTTAAGATTTTATTTACTTATTGAGAGAGAGAGCGAGCATGAGTGGGGTGGAGGGGCAGAGGGACAGGGAGAAGCAGACTCTGTGCTGAGCAGGGAGCCTGACATGGGGCTTGATCCCAGGACCCGGAGATCCTGACCTGAGCTGAAGGCAGATGCTCAACCGACCGAACCACGCAGGCGCCCCTATAGTGGCTATTTTAGTGGTGGAATTATTTTTCCCTATATTTTCCTTTTCTTTTGGATCATAGGTGTCAATCTTTTAATTGGAGGAAAAAAAAAGGATTTTAAACATAAAATTTAGTTAAGACCAAGACCAAATCACCAAGCCCTAAGCTTGCAAAGATTTCTGAAGATCTGTGAACTTGGGCAGTATGGATCCCTGGATAAAATATGTCTTCTAGCACACGAACTTCCACTTGAGCAGTGAATTACAGATTGTAATAGCAGCCACTTTAGATGTTTAAAGTGTATCTTGTGGGAAGGGGAGTGAGCAGTCTCAGACCAATAAGGAAAAGGAATCCTTTTCTAACCTCATGAAATGGTGCCCTTTGAGCCTTTTTATGGCAGGAAGGTGTTAGCTCTTTCTCCCAGTATCTTATCCTTAGATCATCAGCTAATAGAAGAGGAGATAGTCTTCCAATTAAGGGAGCAGATGGTCACCTCTTCCCTGCTTTTAAAGAGGCGTAGGTTCTCCTGAGCACTGTCCAGTAGAACTTTTCCCAATGTATCTGCCCCTTCCAAATATGTTAGCTACTAGCTAGCTACCAGTGGCATTGAACACTTGAAATATGGCTCGTGTGACTGAGGAAGTGACTGTTACATTTTTTAAGATTCCAAGTGATTAAGCTAACCACAGATGGCCAGTGGCTACTGTATAAGTGAGTACCCCTTCACTGCCTCTTCTTGTTGGCGGCACAATTGGAAAGGGAGCGGTGGATCGGGGCTGGATGAGGGAAACCGTTTTGCTTTTCCCCCTTCCTAAGCTCCCCCTCCCTTCATCTCTGATGATTGGCCTTCTCTCTTTACACAGCTTCTGCAACTTCCCTTTTTTGGATAAAGACTATTTTTACTGAACATCATTTTAACTAGACTACCAGGAAGAAGCTGCTGGGAATTTGGTCATACTGTAAATTTTGTCTCTGGTCAGCTTCCCAACCGAAGAACAGAACTTGTTGAGTATCTATCTAGAAACCTTATGTACATATTAAAATACTTGGCTTCTTCTCATGGTAGTTGGCACTTATGTGTTGGTGATCCTCTTTGCAACAGAGCCTTGTCGTTGCCTAGTCTTTGCTCTTGAGAATGTTTTGTTTTGGAGATTGAGGGTTTCAGCATCAGCTGAGGTTAATTTTGCATGTGACCAGACTGGGACAGGATCAATGCAGGAAGTTGTTAGAGCTGGCCCCCTTCTAGATGGGGGTGGCCTTGTCTTCCTGGATTGCTCCCAGGAAGCATACAGCAGACGTCTGGGGAGCCAGTGGGCCTGTCAGCCTACTCTGCCACCCCCAGCCTTTCAGTTCCTTTGTAAATGCAAATACTTTTTGTTAGTGCAGTGGTTCTCAAAGCAGTGCTTCAGGATCACCTGGAGGGCCCCACCCCTACAGTTTCTGATTCAGCAGGTTTGGGTTTGGACCCTAGAATTTACATTTATAACATGATGGTGGTGATGTTGCTGGTCCAGGACCAGCAACCCCTGGTTTAGTGGAATCTTCCTTGCTTCTGTCCGGAGAGGAAAAGGTATATTCTCATCTACCCCCCTTGGCTTTTAGATTTTGCCATCTGGTCAACCTGGCTCTTGGCATCTACTTGGTCTCTTTGGCCTCTGCTTACTTTTTGTACCAGAATGCCCCTGGCCTCAGCCTGTAAGCATCTGGAGGGGGTCACTGCCTCTCTTTGGGAATGCTGAGTGGGAAAGAAGGAAGCCATGGGCCTGTGGGCCTTGGGACTGATTGAAAACCTGGATAATTGTAAATACAGCTTTTTCTTAGGAGCTGTGGGTCCTGCTTGGCATGGTCATAGTTGTAAGGCTGCCCATCCACAAAACCCTATTTATTCTTCAGTGCTCTTCATGGATTCACTTGGTGTTTCATTTTGAAGTTAGAAAACAAAGATAACTTCTTTGAAATGTTCCTGGGAAATGACTTTTCCAGAATGGAAGAAAAATATAAGAGTTACTTATTTTTGTTAAGTTCATTCATAGAATGCTAACAGAGAATGTCCCATTCCCTCCCTAATCACAAGAGACAGGGATGCTAGAATACTTCTTGGCAGTGAGATGGGCTGCCCCCCCCCCCCCCCCGGCAAGACAGTCAGCTGTGCACCCATGTCAAGGGGGGTTCTGACAGAGCCACCAAGGGATGTTCTGTTCCCAGGATATGTGATGACTTTCTGATCAGCTTTACCTATGATTTCCCCTGCCTCTCACAGGGTTTTGACAGTGGTTTGGATAAGTGGTTTGGTGGAAGACAGTATTTAATAAGCACTAACTAGTTAGTGTTAAGCCCTTCTATGTATTGACTCATTTAATCCTTTTGGTAACTCTGAGGGCAGGTATAGTTTTCACCCCCATTTTATAGATGAGCAAATTAAGACTTCAGAGGGGATACACATCTTGTACACGTTCAGCTAGTTCCTTTCTGAGCTTAAAGTCTAGGTATGTTCTTAATTTCCATGCTCTTCTCCCTCCTCACTCATCTTCTTGTGTTGTGTGCTCTTAGCTGTTTGACCACATTGCAGAATGCCTGGCTAACTTCATGGATAAGCTACAAATCAAAGACAAGAAGCTCCCCTTGGGTTTTACTTTCTCATTCCCCTGCGTCCAAACAAAACTAGATGAGGTAAGATGAGGTCTTTAGACACTTTTGTTGTTCATTCTTAGGGCTGGGAGGTCCGGGATGAACTTTGAGCCAGCTGCTTCTGTGGTTTTAGAGGCAGCTCTGATGGTTATATGAATGAGGCTGGAGTATTGAGAGTTCTGTCCTTGTGGGTGGATGGGTGTGCATAGGTGTGGGGGGATGGTGAAGAAGTATCAGAAGTGGGGGGAGCGTCTTTATCACTCATCCCTCAAAGGACAATATGCAACCCCCCATATGTTGTACATTATCCTCATCCCTTGTAGGGAACCAGGAATGGGAAATTAGGAACTCCTTTGATGTAGCGTTATCATGATAAAGCTCCTTGGAAGAAAGATGTCTGGGGAGTTAATGATGAGAGTCTCTTATTTTGGCATTTCTAAAGCCTGTTCTTTCCACTTCTTGGGGGCAGTAGATCATGAAGGAATCATTCATTTAATCTTTCTGGGGCTTCGAATGGGTCCCAATTTCTCTTTCCTAGGCTAATCAGGAAGCAGTATGAATATTTAAGCACGGTTGGAGTTTAGCTTAGCTCCGTGGCAGAGGTCTCCACTTACTAATGGTTGTTTGAGTAGTGTGGTCTGGGTTTTGTGAGGAATCAGTGTTCATTCCTTGGTCATTTTTTCAGAGTTTCCTGGTCTCCTGGACCAAGGGGTTCAAGTCCAGTGGTGTGGAAGGGAAAGACGTGGTTACTCTGATCCGGAAGGCCATCCAGAGGAGAGGGGTGAGTAGGGGAGGCAGGGGTGGGGAGAAGGGAGGTGGGGTCTGGAGGCTCTTTACATTCTTTAGGGTCTACGCTGAAATCTTTCCCAGTCTGTCTTCAAATCAGCGTGAGAACCTTTTTGTAGTTCTTAAGGAGAGATTTTCTTTTCCTTCCCTGCTAGGTATACCCAATAATATTAAATTTTTTTCTAGTTTTATTGAGATATAGTTGACATACAGCTAAGTTTAAGGCATGCTTCATACTGACTTGGCATCCATTTACTGTGAAATGTTTGCCACACTGATAATCTTACATAATAAGCAGGTGCCTCTTGGGTCTTCAGATTAGCATAATGGATAATAACCAGATGCCTTTGGGGTCTTCAGATTAGCGTGATGGATAAATAATCTTAGCCTTGGTACAAGAAAAACCCTTCAGTCTCTAACCTGAAGAAGACTTGATTATCATTTTCAAGTAAGAAGGTTGGGATGATGTTGGCATCAGGATGGAATAGGGTAGAGAGAGTACAAGATAAAGGTCTGGTCATAGGAGTTACAGGGAAAGAGGGAAGAAAAAGAAAAGAAGAAAGAGAAGCAGAAGGGGACAGCGATGACAAGATGGGCTCTTGTGAATGCAGTGATGTCTATAAACTAGATCGCAGGGCTGGTGGCCTCCATGGAGAGGACAGGCAGGGTGGGGAGTGAGTCACTGCTGTCAGACTGGATCTGGACCCAGTTCCTAGCTCTAACCTTCTTTGGCTCCAAGTAGGGTTAGTAAGGGGGCAGCCCTAATGTACCTGAGCTGTGGGTCTTGCTGCTCTTTCTCTCCACCTTCACAATCATAACCTTTGTGTGATGGTGAAGATCAGAGCCCCACTTTTATCCCTGCAGGACTTTGATATTGATATCGTGGCCGTGGTGAACGACACAGTTGGGACCATGATGACCTGTGGTTATGATGACCAGAATTGCGAGATTGGTCTCATTGTAGGTGAGTGAACACTGGGTGTGGGGGGCTGGTGCTGGCTAATGGATGGGGTATATGGGCTGGAAAGGGAGGAGGGCTCCATGGCCTGGATAATTCTTTGTACTTCATATTAGAAGATGATGGTACAGTCACTTTGGAGGGCTGAGCCAGAACTTACAGGTTGGGGGTTGTGGATTGGATCATGTTGGGATACTCCAGGAGCCTGCACTGAGCAATCCCAGCCTCTCTAGCTGGTCTCAGGATGCTGGAGTAAGAGGGAGATGGGGGCTGGGGAGAGGCTGGTTGGTGCAGGTGGGTGTTGAGCAGTCCCTTGTTTTGGCCAGGCACGGGCAGCAACGCCTGCTACATGGAAGAGATGCGCCACATTGACATGGTGGAGGGCGACGAGGGGCGGATGTGTATCAACATGGAGTGGGGGGCCTTCGGGGACGATGGCATACTCGATGACTTCCGCACTGAGTTTGATCAGGAGATCGACATGGGCTCCCTGAACCCTGGGAAACAACTGTGAGCAGCAAGCCTTTGTGCGGTGGGCTCGTGGGGGTGGACTCAGGAGCTGAGCTGGGGGTTGACCAGAGCTGGGGGGTGGTTCTCACTTTTGCGTTATAGTGTTATATCCCCGAAAGGTTGGTTACGGGAGTGGTGTGCTCATCACATGCATCATGACTATAAATTGCTGAGAGGGCTCTGAAAACGAATAAACAAGCGGACAAACCAGATTATAAGTAATTTGGCTTTGTCCTTCAGAGCCATCATTTTAGAATGTCATTTCCTGAGTGTTGGCCCTGCTCTTTCTTCCACCTTCAATGTGTAAGCTGTCCATAGAAACAGTTTGTGAGACACAGAAGAGTCATCTTGACATGGCCAAGCTTAGGGTCCCTGAAAGCTGTCTTCGTAGGTCCCACCCCTGCCACTGCTCAGGGGATGAGGCTTATGACACTTGCCTCCTGCACACTGGCTGAGGCCCCGACTCTGACCTCTGGTAGAGCTGCCTGCGAGCTGAGCTGGAGCCGGCTGTAGGCAGACCCGGGGCCTCTGGAAAAGCTGGTTTAGGAGCCTCCTTGGCCACTTCCCTGGACCTGTGGCCCAGGACCACGAGGGTCTCCAATGTTTTGCACCCTGAATGTTATATTCTCCAGCCTGGCTAAACTCGGTTTTTAGGTACTTTTGACGGTTACAAAACATTATTTCGCTGTCATTATTACACCAACATTGACCCAATGTCCCTATGAAAGATATTGAAACAGGGATTGCTCTAAGCTCTGAAGGCAATTACAAAATGTTTTGAGCAATTCAGGCCCCCTCTGGTCTTCTTGTTGCTGACTGTTGCAGGAAAGCTTCTGGTATAGATCTCTGTTCAGAGAGGAAAACCCGACTCTATAAGCCAACTTAGCAATGGGCTGTCTTTTTCTGTACAGGGAGAGTCCTTGCTTTCTCAAGGCATGGTTATTTAAGTCACAGGCTTCTCCCACATATTGAAGCATGAGTCCACTTGTAACTTTCATAGGAACGCACTGGCTGTGTCTGCCATGGCTGATGAGAATTTATGGACTGAAAAGTCACTCAATCAATGTCTGCCTCCAAGAAGCCATTCAGAGGAGCTGTATGCCCTTCAAAGTGTCCGATGACAGAATTGCCAGCCCGGCCTTGGCAACACACCACTGGCTCAGCCTGAGACAAATCAAAGGCTGGGAGGATATCGACTACAAAGTGTCAGCCGTGGTAGCCCAGAAGCCATTATTGGGCCCCAGGAGGAACTTTTTCCCACTCTTGATGTATTTCCAAATATTTTCCTAAATGTTGACTGAAACAAAGTTTGAATTAAAAAAAACTGGAATAAAAGCTTTTATAAGTCACCCACACTTCAGAGCCCCACTGGACCTGTCCGCTGTCTGCCGTCGAACTAGCTATTTTGGAGAAGGTGGAGAGGCCGACATGAGTTACTTACAGATAAAGCCAGGCAGCCTCCCACACAGTGTACCTGTGCTGGTGCTTGAACAATTTACATGCACCCTCTGTTCAGGCAATTTTGCCAGCTCTGCACTGAGCTCCAGTTCCGCCATACCTGGCCCTGGGTCTCGGGTGAGTCACTTCCTGAGGGCCTGGCTTTCCTGTCTTGTAGATTGTACCAGCTGACGTCATAATCCCGTAAACCCCGCCCCGCTCTGGGTTCCTTCGCTGAAGCCCAGCCTAGGTAGTGTCCGCTGGCCCTGGGGGACCTCCTCTCTAGACCCCAGATGCTTAGATACCCAGAAAGGGCCTTCTGGCTGCAAATAACTGCAAACAATGGTGAAGGTTCGGTTTCTCCTATCACACCATTTGAGCCAGAAAGACTGGCTTCCAAAGAAAACAGCATCACCTAGTGTTGAAAAAATAAATCAGCTGATTGCTCTCAGCTGGGGGGCAGCCCTCTGCCTTTCTAGAACATGCCTTTATCTCGTCACCTGCCTGCTCAGAAACTTCCAACGTGTCGCACTCCCAGATTCCCACGGCAATCTGACGTTTAGAGCTTCTTCGCATCTGTCCCAACCTGCCCTTCTAATCCTGCCCATTACCCCACCCCCAGCCCCGGGGTTCTTTTCACCTTCTTTCCTAGAAATCCACAAATGACCTTCCAAGGGGAGGGCAGTGTGAGATGTTGCTGGGCCCATGCCACTAATTGGATCAGATTGGCCTTCTTCTCTTGTATATAAATATTGAGGCTCCTCAAAAGGTTTCATTTTAAAAAAGTATTTCCTTGCTAGAGAAAAAAATTTAAAAGTCACTACCCTACATGTAACTTACTTTCCCTAAAATCCAGGCTGTTCCACAATGTTCCATATGCCCTTTCCCTCCACAGTTGAAGGCCCAGCCTGCCTGCAGAGATGGAGCAGACGCCCCAGACCCTACAGCCTCCCCTGAGCTGTGACCTCTCTGCACATCTTATTCCCAGCAATGCCACACAAGTTAGCACTCTGTTGTGCACCAGCTTGCCTTGCGTGCATGTTGCCTCCACGTCCGCGGGGAAGTTGTGAGTTCACTGACAGCCAGGACTGTTCTTTAGTGTCTGGTCTGTATCTCTGCAGATTCGAGAAGATGATCAGTGGGATGTACATGGGAGAACTGGTGAGGCTTATCCTGGTGAAGATGGCCAAGGAAGAGCTGCTTTTCGGGGGGAAGCTCAGCCCAGGGCTCCTTGCCACTGGCCAGTTTGAGACCAAAGATGTTTCAGATATCGAAGGGTAAGCTTCCGGGTCCCTCTCTGTTCACCGGGTCTCCGGAAGGGTGGACAGGCCATTGGGGAATGAGGAACGGGAACCAGCCCTTGACCCTTCAGATTTGGACAGCAAGATGGTCTTGTGCCACGTGGGCCATGGCAGGCCTCTGTCTTGACTTGAACTTTTCAGATAGTCTCCACCCTTGTCCCAAGTGGCTCCTGGTGCTGCATGGGTGGGGGTGGGGCTTGGCTTAATGCCCGAGGCTCCAGTGGGCCCCTTGGGGACTCATGCATTTACTTTCTTTCCCTTTTCCTGAAGCTCTGACATTTCTTTCTCAGTTGGTGATTCTCCAAAAGGGCTCTGTCCTGACCCCTGCTTCCCTAACAGAAGAATAGGTCTTCAGCTGGCCCTAAGATTTACCCATTTAGTTCCAGTACGTATAGCTGAGGCCTGCATTTCACAGAGTGGCATGGACGGGAGTGAGGATGGCCTGAATCTTGTTTTTCAGTTAACAGTATCCAAAGAGTTGGGCCCAGTTTCCCGTTCTTGAGAGTTCCACTTGTCGCTTGAGGAGGCCCTGTTGTTACAGGGACCAGATGGTGGAGAGGAGGGGAATTGGGTGCTAAAGGGAGCAGTGAAACCGTTCCAGTGACCTCAAGTGGAAACTCTTGAGGGAATTGTGCCTGCTTGTTAAACCCCAAGGGGATGGAAGAGTGCGCACTTGTGAGGTGCTTAGCTCCGCTGAGAAGACTGTGAAGTTCACGGCAGCACACACTAAGCACAGCCTCTAGCATGGGTTAAAGCAGTGCCCGTGCTGTCGTGAAAGGCAGCGAGCTGGCTGCTTCACAGAGAGGGAATGGGGTGGGCTCCGCCGCTGGGTGGTTGGTGGCAGGGACACTGTTCCCTCTACCCCCAGATAAGCAAGCATAGCTCATTCTCTCTCTCTCTCTCACACACACACACACACACACACACTGACACACACAGCTTGGTGTGTAAAGCCATAAGAACAGTGTCTTGTCCTTACTTAGTATGTGCTTAAAAAGTACTGCTTTTCCCATTGGAAAAAGAAGCACCTGAACCCTGTGTCCGTGTGTCTGGGCGAGGAGCCTCCTGTTGGCTCTGTTGTGTTTTCCCCTTGTTCTACCTTCCCATCAGTGGGCAGAGCCATGGAGGGCGTGTCTGTCCTCGCTGGGAGATGGCGCTGGCCCCCCTGGGTTGGGCACGCGCCCACATGCTGTCCTTTTCTTTCCCAGGGAGAAGGACGGCACCTGGAAGGCCCGTGAGGTGCTGGTACGGCTGGGCATAGACCCGACACAGGAGGACTGCGTGGCCACTCACCGGATCTGCCAGATCGTGTCTACGCGCTCAGCCAGCCTGTGTGCGGCCACCCTGGCGGCCGTGCTGCGGCGCATCAAGGAGAACAAGGGCGAGGAGCGGCTGCGCTCCACCATTGGGGTGGACGGCTCTGTCTACAAGAAGCACCCACAGTGAGTCAGCGTGCCCAGACCCCCCAGCGCCATGGCCCCCAGAGCACTCGAGGACCCCTGACAGGCCTGCGAGAGACCCTAGTGACTCCACGGCCAGCTCTGTTTTGCCTTCTGGGGCGGTGGAGGTGGACCGTAGCTTGAGGGACTTTGTAGGATAAGCTCCCAGCTGGGCATGTGGGGGTCGGGAGGGTGGCATCCTTGGCAGGGGTGGAGGCGATTCCTGAGGGCTCCTGATGCCTGGAGCTCTAGCCAGGGCTCTCCTGGCCACGGGGCTCTGTCTGCCACCCTCTTGTTGAGGAGTTCGGGTTTCTCTGTACTTGTTTCCTTGACTCTCATGTTTGTGGATGGTCTGTTCAGGTGGTGTGTGCTCTGACAGAGGACACCCTGGCACAGCCTCTCTGGCTGACCTGGGCATTGAACTGATCCTGCACTGCCCTCCATGGTTGGTCCCTTGGGTCCTAAGTGCCAAAATATTCAAATTTCAGTTGGCACCTGGCCGATCTCTCTCTTGTGCCCACTTCCTATTTCATTTTTGCTGGATTCGAGCGCCAGTTCCGTGTGCCTTCATTAACTGAATCAAGGTCTCCGCCCTGGTCTTCTAGTCCAGGGCTTCAGAAACACGAAAGTGCACGTGAATCACCGGGGGATCTTGTTAAGAGGCAGAGTCTGATTCGGGGGGTCCAGGCCGAGACCTTGTCTCTGGGCCCCCAGGGGTGCTGTTGCCCACAGACCGCACCAGGGGCAGTGAGGCCCCGGAGACCGTAGCTCAGCACAGCCACCACCCGAGGAGTTCTTGTTGAACACACCTGTGGTCTTGAGCTGTTCAGACGGCCTTGGGATTCTGGGCAGAAATTGGCCAAAGAGGCCAAAGTCCAGAAGAGCATTTCTCCTTTTCCTGTTCTGGGTTTTCCGCAGGCAGCGTCTAATGAAAGGGGCACTGCAGGTGTCCGAATCCCCCGATTCCGAGGCTGATGTATTGGGTGGAGGAGCCTCGGCTGTGGGATGGGGAGGTCTTAATGTGACTGTGTGCGAGGGTAGGGGCCTCCTACAGCGGCCCTTTCCCCTTCCCTCTGCTGGGGTGGTCACAGATGACTCTCCGAGCTTGAACAGTGTTGACCGAGAACCTGGGGGTGCCTCCCGGCCTTGCGGCTGAGGCAGCGAGCCCTTCGCACCCTTGACCCTCACCGTGGACCCCCGTCTCTTCCCCTCTCACGGCGACTGCAGCTTTGCCAAGCGTCTTCACAAGACGGTGCGGCGCCTGGTGCCCGACTGTGACGTCCGCTTCCTGCGTTCTGAGGATGGCAGCGGCAAGGGGGCAGCCATGGTGACGGCGGTGGCCTACCGGCTGGCTGACCAACACCGAGCCCGCCAGAATACCCTGGAGTCTCTGAAGCTGAGCCGCGAGCAGCTGCTGGAGGTCAAGAGGAGGATGAACGTAGAGATGGAGCGAGGTCTGAGCAAGGAGACTCACGCCATTGCCCCCGTCAAGATGCTGCCCACCTACGTGTGTGCCACGCCTGATGGCACAGGTAGGCGACAGGGCTGCCACTCAGCCACCGCGGTGGGCCTTTGTCCTGGTGTCGATGTCCCGGCAGGACTCCCTCCGCCTTAGCATTGGGTATTGGGACCAGTACTAGAAAATGCTAGCGTTCAAGAAGTTCAACCCAGCCATTCCTCTGCTATAATTTTTTTTTTAAGATTTTATTTATTTATTTGAGAGAGAGAGAAAGAGAGACAGAGAGCATGAGAGGGAGGGGGGCCAGAGGGAGAAGCAGACCCCCCGCTGAGCAGGGAGCCCGATGCGGGACTCGATCCCGGGACTCCAGGACCGTGACCTGAGCCGAAGGCAGTCGCTTAACCGA